CCTATCTTTAATGCGCAAATGGCTGCCGAAATTCAACAAAAAATATAATGTTTGCGATAAAAATCACCTTCTATCGGGATGTTTTTTGTACTTAAAACTGTCATAACTTTTTCAAATATTTACAAATCAAAATAATATTTTTTTAAATCGAAACCTTAAGTAATTTCCTTTTATTTGATATCATTTTTTTTGAAAATCTAACACTTATTCTGTTCACAAAGGGGGATTTAAAATAGCAACTTATTTACAAAAACTAATTTTTTCAACTTAACTTTTGTTAATTTCCGGAAATACTGCGTCCTATACCCTTTAGCAGGTGCGTGCCTATTTTTAACGTTCATAGTCGCGTGGGGGTCTATCAGACCATATTTCTAAAAAAGTATAAAATATGTTTAAAAAAGTTCATTTTTTTTAATTCAAAGACATAATTTGTTACCATATGATATATAAATATGGATAAAAAAGTCAATAATAAAAATTAAAAATAAATAAATTACAAAATTATGTGCATTAATAAAAATTAATTATTACAAAAAAAAAAAAACTTAATTTTTCAAATTTCATTAAAAAATTTTGGTTTGTAAAAAAATTATTTCAACTGCAAAATCTTATTTTTAAGACCCAAAATAAAAGCTTTTACTATTAGAAAATGTATTTTAATTAATTTTTCTTGTAATTCTTTGAGCTCAAACACGACTTATATTTATTAGTTTTATGTGTATTTACATTTATAAAATCATTTTTCTGAATTGATTTTTTTTTATTAATATTACAATACATTTAATTATTATGATACGAGTATATACAATTATTCTGAATTTGTTGAATATTGCTTTTTCTCTCAACAATCTTTGGATACTGTTTAATATACGCGATGTATTTATTACATGTTTTGTTCTTATTGTTCCGTATCATCGACTAGTGGAAGTTCTCAATAGATTATTTATTTTTAAAACTTAATTGCACAGTCGGTGGCAGATTCACATAATTCCAATTCCACAATATTATATCGATTATAACATTGAATTTACAATAAAACGATATTTTGAAAAAAATACAAGTTCAAAAAAAAAATGATAACGTTACAAGTCGCGTGGGGGTAAATATGATTCATTTCAATTTTGATGAATATTTTAAGTCATACATTTTTTTTTCGAAGGTATTTATTTATGAAAATCGATTCAATATTTCTATAAAAACCATCTTCTAAATTTATATCTATGTACACCTTTTATGCAATATAATACATCTGTTTTTATTTATGTGGGGGTATGCAAGATCCCCACGCGACTGTTTAAGGGTTAAACATATATAAAATTAATGCTTATGTCATGTACTATAAAATTAAAAAAAAAAATTTGTCCTATCTTCTATGCGCAAATGGCTACCGTATTCAGTAGTGTCTTTAATCACTGTCAGATTAAATCTATACTGAACCCAACTATACCACGTCCCCACTGTGCTGAGTTTATTTTTTATCTTATTTATATGTGTTACGCCAGTTTATAATATTCTAAATTTGGTTATAGGTCACTATATAAATTATTTAAAAAAAAAATTACTTTTGGTTTCACTTAAATTTAACAATGAATTTTTACAATTATAATCAAATATTATAATACGCTAAATTGAATAGATTTTTTTAACAACTTTTAATTGATTTTTTTATTAAAAGTTAAATTAATTAACTTTTGAATATATCAATCGTAAAATCTTTTTAAACGCCAAAAGTTACTTATTAATGATTACTATGATTTCTATTTAATTGATCTATTACAATAAAAATACAAAAAAAAAGTAATGAGCATTTCTGATAAATTTACTGTAAATAGTAATTATAAAATTTCTTGATTGCATAGTAATATTAACAATACCAATTTTTTAACTCTCATAAAATTTAAATTTAATGATGTCAAACTCGAAAGTTAAACTTTTTTTTTTGTTTTTAGATATTATTTTATATGTAATTTTTTCATTATTAATTAATCATCAATTAAAAAAAAAGATTAATAACTTTTGAATTACTAGTCCATAAGTTGTCATCGACCAGTCATATTCTTAAATAGATTATTTTCTATTTTATAATGTAATTAAATATGTATGCTTCCATTAAAAAAAAAAAACCCAGCACAGTAGGGTCGTGTCATAGTTGGGTCCAGTATAGATGATATCTGACAGTGATTAAAATCACTATCATAAAAAAGGCTTCGATGCAAATCTGTAGATAGTGTTTAATTTAAAAAAAAATTGTCAAAAAAATAGGTCAAGTGAGAGCTGAGAAAATAAATGATAGCTACAAAAAAAACCCACATAGTAAAATAATATTAATATGAATTTCTTCTCACGAGAGTAGACTACAGTAATGGGATCCTTGACATTTATTGTAGTTATTGAATCTAAATGAGATAAAAATCAAATGAGTTAAACATTTTTTTCTAACTTAAAAAGAATTAAGAAAAAATTCAGTGCTACAGGCGTAAAAGATCCAAGTGTTACAGTCTCAGAAACCTTACGTCGCATTCGTTACTTAATAAAAATGAAAATTTAGCTAGTTCAAATTTTAAAGTTATTTTTCTCGACTTCAAAGAAACAAAAAAATTTAAATATGTTTAATTTTTTATACTATGTCAATTAGATTAATATAATATTTATGAAAATCAGTGTAATCCCCTTATAATAAAATAAAATAAAATACAAAACCATGAATTTTAACACAAAAACAGCATATTTTTGAATACGGTAGGTATTTTCACCATGAAGACAAAATAAAGTCCGAAATTTACGGGAAACGAGGGAAATTTTCCAATTTTTGAGGGTAATATCTTCGACTATATACGATTTGTGATCTTTTGACGTATCGTTGAAAGAAATCGAATTCAAGAATTCGGTGAGAGCTAAGAAAAAGTGGTAACAGACACAAAAAAAAAAATAATTAAAAAAAAAAAACCCCATCATAGTAAAATTAATACTTTCTCAGCTTCGCATCGAAACTAAAAATGTGATAGATAAAATTTGTAAAATTTAATATATGCGTAAAATGGATTTAGAAATATATATTCTGATCTCTGAAAAAAAATTCCTTAAGTTTAGCAACTGTATGAATTAAAAAATCTATTGACACTGTAATTATTATTTTAAGAATAATCAATTGCCTAATATTAAAATAATTACGCTTCAACTTGTAACTTTTTATAATTTCTCCATGAAAATTCAAAACACAATATTTAACATCATATTGATACTGATTGTAATTACTGTAATAAGTATTTATTTATAGATCATAAAACTTGTTATCAGTATAAAAAAAGGAAATAGAAGTTCTTGTTATATTTTATAAATTCAATAATTCCTTTAAAAATTAAACACTATAAATTTACATCGAAGCGATTTTTAATATAATGATTTTAATCACTGTCAGATATCATCTATACTTTTTCCTACTGCACTACGATTTTACAGAGCGGTTTTTTTAATAAATTTAATACATATTCATACTATTCATTATTTACACTAAAATTATTTTAGTAAAAATGTTGTTAAGTGATTATAAGATAAATAATTGTTCTTATCTTTATATCTATTAATAAATTCGTCTAAACATGATTATTATTTGGTTAGTTTTGTTTATTTTTTACTTGTGATCTACATAAAATGTTAGTTTTTCTATTTTATTAAAAATACTCATTCCAAGTAACCAAGGAATAAAATCCTTTAGGTTTTCAAAAATACTTATAAAAATATACATTATACAAATAATAAAGAATAGATTTCATCTTTGTTATACTTTTATTTAGATTAATCAAAAATTTTAATGACAGATGTTCATAACTAAATTAGGTACTTCATAATGCATTAGTGTTGTTGAATTCAGTTTTTCTTACTAGTAAAATATTAGTGAAAAGAATTTTGATTCATAGACAGTTATATTTTGATTTTGTTTTTTTATTATTATATCTAATTTAGAATTTTTTTAAATTTAATTCTAGGAATTAAGTAGTTCTATTTTCATTTAATAAGTAATTAATTAATTTTAGCCTATTAATATAGATTTTATCCAAATTTTACATGTCGATTATAAAAAATTAAAAACAATTTACCAATTACAGTTGTGTTAGCTAATATTATGAAATAAAAAATTAAATATTTATGAAATGTAGTATACATTTTTTTAACCAAAATTATTATGATTCATATTCTTTTAAAGTATTTATGTTAGTCTTAATAAATAAAGGTAACAAAAATAACAACACAAAAAACCTCGAGATTTTACACAAAAATTATATTTTTTGTTCATTATCAGCAGTAATTGGCACATAGAAGGTACGTCGTTAGAACAAGATTTTTTTTAACTTAAAGTATGTAATATAAGCTTTAATTTAACATATGTTTAAAGCTCGGAGTATTTTCGGAACATTTTCAAAAGTTTATTTTTGTACAATAGTTGCCATTTTGAATCATTCACGGTGGGCAAGTAAAGGGTCAGATTTTCATAAAAATTATATCAAATAATAAAGGAAAACACTTAGTGTTTAAAATAAAAAAATGTTTTAGTTAGTTTATTATTCAAAAAGTTATGACAGTTAAAATAAAAAAAGTTTAAAAATTTACCGATATTTAAAATTGTAAGTTTTATGAGGATTTCCCTCATTTACGAGAAACGAAGAATTTTTTTTCAATTTTGTATAAAATATATTCAACTAGATACGGATTTGTGATCATTGACGTATTTTTGAATAAGATCAATTCGTTGAGAGCTGAGAAAAAGTAATGATGGACGCACAAAAAAAAATTATCAGCTATTATCTATATTTGTCTTAACCACGTCCCACTGTGTTGCCGTTTTTTTTTAATAAAGTTATTTATCAGTGAAATAGCAATAATCGTTTATGTAAATATAAGTGAAAACTTACTTACAAAAAAAATAATAATAATCTACACCAACATATTTTTAAGGTTTTATGTTATCGTGGACAATAAATATTTCAATATAAAAATGTTTTTAATAATATAAATCTGTTCAAATAAAGATATATGAAAAACATACTGTAATCCACATTAATAATTTGTCATCAAAAGATATTTAAAGTTTAAACATTTTTTATAATGCCTATTTTTGAAATATATACAAATTTATCTAATTCAAAAATACCTATTAACTTTTTAAGTAATTGTGTAAATTTCCTTGCAATAATACTCAAGAAAGATACTAAAGTAAGATTTATAATAAAGTATTATAAAATGAATAAAGAAATATCGTAACTCTAAATAATTAACGATAGAAATGTACATCCAAAAGTATTAAATTTTTTTTTTTCTTTGACAAAATATTCACTTATTTTATGATAAAACGTTTCTCTTTAATACGAACTTGAAGTGTCAATTTTAAAATTTTGTGTTTTTCATTAAAATCATATTTTTTTGGTGTTTGTCACCATCATACATAAATTGTCTCATAAAGTATATTTATTTGTATACATCATTAAGAAAAAAAAGTACTAATCAAATTTAATAATTATATATACTCTGTATAATGAATGTACAATATACTATTATATTATATTATACTGCACAATTTTTTTTTTTATGTTGTTCATTTATAATGAAGGACTACTAATACAACCATTATATGACATAATTTTGGTAAGATCAAACTCAAAGCTGTGCAGCATATGATTAAAATAAACTAATTTAGATTTGTTTACTTATTTATCTGTTTATTAAGAATTTTCTGTAGCGTTTGGTGATATCACTTTTATTCTTACATGTGTATTAGAAGTAAAACTTGTGTATAAGTAGATTAAAAGACAATAATAAATCAAACTGATTCTATACAAGTTTAAATGTTCATGATATTTAAAATGTTTACTTTGAAATAAATTTGATTATATTTTGTCAACAAAAAATATTAAATATAAATATTTTTAGTGGTGTATAGCAACTGTGAATTCGGGACTAAACATTTATCAAGGTGGATCAAATGAACCATGCTGTATCATTCAAATTGCAAGTATGATTGGTAGTGTGGGACCAAAGCAAAACAAGAGTTATATTGAGGATTTAACAAATTTTATTCATAATACAATAGGAATACCCAAAAATCGGTAAATTTGATAAATCATTTTATTTCTTCAAAAAAATATTCTAAACAAAGAATAATTCTAATTCTAATTTAGCGTCTATTGGGCGTAGATATTTGGATCAACCACTCATAAATAGAAATCATCTGTAGGATGATATTTTAAACTAAAATACAAATTTTTTAATTTTACAACAATATACAATTTTTTTAAATAGTTTGACAAATTAATATTTTTTTTCTTATTTATTAAACATTTTATAAAAAAAGTATTAATTAAATTTATTTTTTAAATACACAAAGCATATTTTTAAGAAAATAATCAAAATTGATATATTTTTTAAATATTTTGAAAACGTTTTTAAAAATACACTTTATTTGAAATATTTTTTAAATGTTTAAAAAATATGTTTTTGCTACTTAGGTAGCTAGTATTCTAACTTTTTTTGTTGAGTACGTGAAGTAAAAACACGAAAATCCTTTATTTAAATTAATATATCAGTAATATTTTACAAAATAAATATTAACAACTATGCTTTGAGTACATAAAAATTGTATATTTTACTACTATTTTCAGCTTATTACATAATAAAGTAATAAATTATAAAAAAATCAAAAACCATAATTAAGTAATATTTCATAGAAAGTAATAATTATTTAACAATATAAAAAGATAAAAATATTATTATAAATACAACAAAAAATATATGTATATAAAAAAACGGTAGAACTGTGGTGTCGTGGCACATCGTGACAAGTAGAAATATCTTGTTTTTTTTTTAAACGACCAGCATTATTGTGGGCCGCCTATATAAATGGAATTAAATATACTATTTTATGGTTGTACGAACTTTGAACTGTAAAGTATGATTGAGCCAGTTTGAGTAAGCTCTATGTATATGTCAAATTCAAATTTTAGCTTCGATGCGAAGCTGAGAAGGTATTAATTTTACCATGATGTGTTTATTTATTTTTTTTTTTTTTTGTGTCTGTCACTACTTTTTCTCAGCTCTCACTGGACCGATTTCTTTTAACAATACGTCAAAAGATCACAAATTGTATCTAGTTGAAGACATTACCCTTAAAAATTTAAAAATTTTCCCTCGTTCCCCGCAAATGGGGGAAATATCCAAAAAAATTACAAATTTAAAAATCGACAAATTTTGTCATTTTTTTCACTTTTTTTTCTTAAAACTTCCATAACTTTTCAAAAATCCACAAATCAACATAATTTTTTTTTAAACTAAAACCTTAGATATTTCCCTTTCATTTGATATCATTTTTTTGAAAATTTAACACTTAACCTGCTCATGGGGGGCGATTTAAAATTGCAACTTTTTTACAAAAACTAACTTTTTCAACTTAATTTTTGAAAATGTTCCGGAAATACTGCGTCCTTTAAACATATATCAAATTAAAGCTTATTTTATCTACTATAAAATGAAAAAAAAAATTTGTCCTGATGACCTATCTTCTATGTTCAAATGGCTACCGTATTCAAAAATATGATATTTTTTATTAAAATTCTGGGTTTTGTATTTTATTTTATTTTAAAATATCTTATTAGGGGAATACACTGACTTTCATGAATATTATATAATTTAATTGATATAGAATAAAGTTCATAAGATATATGAAATTAAACTTATTAAAATTTTTTTACTTTTTTAAAGTCGAAAAAGTAATTTTTAAATTTGAGTTAAAACATAATTTAAAATTAAAAAATTTTTTTATTCCTATTAAAAAATATATGCTTTTTTAAATGAAAAAGAAAAAAAGTTTTTTTTTCTATTTTTGTGGAATTTAACAAATTTATACTTAAAAAAATCGAATTTTTTCGTTTTTTTCTCTAGTTTGCTCGTTTAAAGAGATTAACTAAAAATCACGCAAAATTACACGTTAATCCATACATGTGGCTTGTAGAGCAAGTCATTAGCTATACTATGAAAAAAAAAAATTTTGCGCTCGATAATATTTGAACTGTACATACTGCATTTACCTAGAATAAACTAGTATTTTCCTAAAAATCGTATGTTTTACAGGATTTTTACTCTATAAATAAAGTTAGTCATTATTTATTATTAATTGTTATACGATTACATTGATATATAAATATAAATATTTTAGTTTTATACATATAAAAAATAATTATGCCATTGATAAATTCATGTCTGAAAATGAATGATTTAATTGACTATTTAATTCATCTTCATTATAGTTGTCATCATTATGAGGGAATATTACTAAAATGACAACTTTTTTACAAAAAATTAATTTTTTCAACTTAACTTTTGAAAGTGTTCCGGAAGGTCTGACACTTTTATATATATCTTAAATTAAAGCTAATGTAATATACTTTATAATGGTAAAAAAAATTTTCGGACTTTATTTTATCTTCATGGTGAAAACAGACATTAAACTTAATAAAAAAAATACTTGTAAAAAAATTCTTTTTTATATTTTTAACTTTATAATGCTATAACTTTTTGAAAGATGTATGGATCAATATAATTCTTTTTTTTGTAGATGCATGATGTCTTTACCTATCATTTGGTATATTTTTTTTTATAAATCTGACTTTTTACCTGCCTACAGGGGGGGATTCAAAATGACAACTTTTTCAACTTAAATTTTGAAAGTGTTCCGGAAAGTCTGACACTTTTATATATATCTTAAATTAAAGCTAATGTAATATACTTTATAATGGTAAAAAAAATTTTCGGACTTTATTTTATCTTCATGGTGAAAACAGACATTAAACTTAATAAAAAAAATTGGATTTTTGTAAAAAAATTCTTTTTTATATTTTTAACTTTATAATGCTATAACTTCTCGAAAGATGTATGGATCAATATAATTCTTTTTTTTGTAGATGCATGATGTCTTTACCTATCATTTGGTATATTTTTTTTATAAATCTGACTTTTTACCTGCCTACAGGGGGGGATTCAAAATGACAACTTTTTCACAAAAAATTGACTTTTTCAACTTAAATTTTGAAAGTGTTCCGGAAAGTCTGACACTTTTATATATATATTAAATTAAAGCTAATGTAATCTACTTTATTATGTAAAAAAAAAATTTCGGACTTTATTTTGTCTTCACGGTGAAAATGGCTACCAAATGCTATAATTGTGTGAAAATTCTCAATTTTATTTTTTTAATTTTTAACCTTATAATGCTATAACTTATTGAAAAGTGTATTGATCAATATAATTTTTTTATGGGAAATACTATTTT